TGGTCTCTTTTAAAATACTTTTAATTTGTTCTTACGTGGTTTTCCAGATCTAGTGACGACAACATTAAAGTTTAAAGAAGAAAATTCTAACATTTAAACCGACTAAACAATAACATAGTAAACTTGCATAATTAAACAGCAACTAAAAATGGTAGGCGAGATATGAGAAGCGAGATATGAATCTACGACCACGCGTTTCCGACACGATGAAAATTTTGTGTGGGACGTCAGCTAAGCAAGGAACTATGGCTAAAAGTTTGCTTTTCTTGTACAGTTGTATATTATAAACTACATGCGGACTATATTCGAATGAAATTAGTCATGCTTGTTGCATGTCTCGAAAATGTTTTGTAAATATTCGTCGGGCTAGTGTATTGCCTTTATTGTTTTTAAACTTAAATCAAATGCGTGTTTCACTTACTTTTTACTAAATTTAGTTGGAGCTGTCCTTCCAGTCAATCTACTTTTTACTAAATTTAGTTGGAGCTGTCTAGCTTCAAGTCAAACTTGTCGGTTCCCTCCGTAGCGCCACAATTGCTTTGGCCTTTATATTTTATTCACATATCATCCAAATTGGAATCATTACGATGATCCCATTTCTGCTCTATCTCTTCTTTTGCCCTTTGTTGTCATTGTTGGTTCCCCAAGTGCGATGGCTGATGTGATAAGAGCATAGAGTTAGTAGATGATATGCTGGTAATGAGAGACAGGTGTCTGATGCCATCTTGATCATATAAGTCCATGTTGAAATCACCGAGCTGGTTACCTTCCGAATTGACATGAGCTAACTGCAAACATGGGTCAGAAAACTGAAGGTCTGATTTGTTTTTCCGAGGCCATATTTGATATTTCTCAAACACTTCTTTCTAAGCCTCCACTCTAGTTCACTTGCGGACGTAAACACAATTTCTCGTTTTCCCAATTTCCACTCCTGTTATAACTGTATATCAACACAGAAAATGTTTTATATTTGTTAAATATATAGCTTGAAAAATATCCCTGGCCACGGTTCGAGTATGTGATATTTCGAAACTGAGTCTAGTTCCTTCGATATCAGTGTAATCTAATAAGCATGATATTTGCTGTTCATGTTGGTGTAATGCACTCAGGTGAATAAGATGCTTGTGATGTTACTATGAGACCTGAGTGTAACATCATAAGCATCTTATTCACCTGAGTACACATACTCGAACCGACCTGACCGCGTAGCTCAGTTGGCAGAGCATTGGGCTAGTATTCCAAAGGTCGTAGACGTAGGTTCGATTCCCATACACCGTGGCCAGGCATATTTTTCAAGCCTGCCTGCCCGGTGCGGATATACACCCAGAGTAACGCAAGCATCTTATTCACCTGAGTACATTACATCAACACAGCAAATATCATATATATTTACTGTTGTAACTGATCTACTATTTACAATTAAAAAGATAAACAAAGTTCTTGGAAGAGCATGCATCAGTTCTTGGAAGAGCCTGCATCAACAATTGAATTTGCTGAAGTAAGCAAATTTATTTGTTTGGCTTGTGGAGAACCCCTGCAGGCTTACTGATTGCTACAAAGCCTTCGATATCGGTGCTAATAATATATGATAAAAATCCGGGCTTATGGTTTGAAAGGTTTGCGATAATATGAACCGTGATATTCTGTACAAACCAAAACAAAGAACTTAGTCAGCAAATTTTGAAACATACAAAGAACTTAGTCAGCAAATTTTGAAACAATGCAGTTGCATCATGCAACGCCAACGGTATTGTTCGATTTCATTCTTATTACTCATGCTAAGGGAAACCCTGACACAGTTGAGATCGAGTACTTATAATAGTCGCCATCCTCAGCTCAAGCGTGAACACAGTGTATCAGGTACGTCTAATGTATATCTAAGTTTATTGCTATTGAGTATAGTGTGTCTGGGAATAAATTATGCGATTGTAGGCCTAACGGAGCTGGAATTTCGGGCGGGATATGGACAGACTGATGGATTAGATTGTTCATATACCAAGTCAATACTATATATATACCGAGTCGTGCTGCAGTCACAAGCAAGTTAGCCATCCCGAAAACAATAGCCCATCATGCTGCATGCCACATGCTTTCCAAAACATTTAACATTTCTTGAAATTTATCGGGCTTAAGATGTGTGTATTCCGTTGGCGTTGTGTTTGTGAATTGTCGAAGTTAACAGTTTAAATACTTGCAATTTGTTCGTTGACGTTAATTTGTCTTTGTAAATATTTAAATATATTGCCATTGGTAAATTCTTTATTCTAGGGACCCAACAAGCAATGGAAGGCCTGAAAATGTACATGGATTTTTATTTTGGAGGGGAGCTACATAGCAACGAAGAATTCGACGAGTGAGTTTGTTAACTGTAAACTGTAATGTAGTAATCTGGGACATTATACCGACTTCTGGGATCCTATTCCAGTCTCCTATATACAAACGGTTGAACAGTTTCCGTGGACTGTTGCAGAACAGACACTATACGAGAATTAATTCAACAAATAATTTCCTTGCCAGTATGAAATCCAGTACCGAATTATTGTTGTATATAAGCAACAAAAATGACAGCAAATAAGCTATTCAAGCTAGTTTATACCAAAACCGCAGATAGTTATAATTAGTTATTTTAATTAGCACAAAACTTCCTAAAGGCTGAATTCCACTGTTGCGTTTTTCGTATGCACGTACACGCACGTAAAACTTTGAACCTTCAATTTTTTAAATATCTTACAAATAAGATAACAAATGCATACTAAAACTTGCGGAACACTAGATTCTGTCGCTTTATTTATTTGGTTATTTCATAAGTAAAATTTAAACAGATTTAAAATTTTACGTGCGTATACGTACGTCTGAAAAACGCAACAGTGGAAATCAGCTTTTAACGCTGGTAATTTCTGTAGCCATCGTAAGATATACATCTGGTTGCAGAATTTTAATGACATGCATAATTATATATATTTTGGAATTTGAGAAAGTCATAAGTTACATTATTTTGAGGAAGGTTTGAAAACTTGAAATCTTACCCGGAGGAAGGTTGAACACTTTTTGCAACTTTGTTTTAATATACCCAGGGTACAAACGCAAGACCCCTCCTGCTAGCTCACCTCATGCTTATTATTTTATACCGCTATACAAGTTAATATCGCTAGGACCAATAGATGCTGTCGAGCGCTTCTATATATATATGTATCATGAGCCTCTGGTAGGGGTAAATTGGGCAACCATACTCGGTGTATAAAGACGTAAATTATTATCTCAATTTTTTCCATGTTTTGCAGGGCAGACAAGGTTAAATTGCCGACGGGCACTGAAGTGCAGAACATCGGCGGCACTACTAGTTGCAGATCGTTTGGTTACGATTCGTGGAAACAATTTTACGAAGATACAGTTGGTAATTGGCCTGCTATGTGTCCCGTTAATTATTGTACCCGGAAAGCAGTGTATGGAGCGCATGTAAGGGTCGATTTCAATCCTAGTGGGGCATGGATTATGCCTATTTGTGCCAGACATAATCATTACACCAACAAAGATTGGATGCCAATTAATGCAAACACAATTGCAGTGTACGTTGAGGAGCAACACACAAGTGGATATTACTGGGATTACAGTTTATACAGCAAATGAATGTTCTGTTTATACAGTTGTAGAAGTGATGAATCATTAATAAGGCCATGCACTGAGCAATCATGTCAATGTATTTAGGTCAAATATAATTACTGTACCGTTGTATTATATTATATACATTATTGCTAGTTATATTAAGTTGAGTGTATGCAATCGACGTTTTTATACATAATTCTGCTACATGTTTCAGTATACGCAATCTCGTGAACAACGACTCTTGGCACCTGTCACTCATGATCAAGCTCGTGAGTAATGGCCGCGTTTCTACCAAAAATGAGGTGTACAGTAGGCGACGTGCTGCTTGAATTTCGGTGTGCGCTGAGTGCACAAACTTTAATCGTTTCAGCGGTCAACGTTGTACCGCGTACCAGCGCAATGGAGCTCACTCTTCTTGCGGACCTATAATTAAAACACTCTTGAATGGATAGGAACTTTGTTATTTAGTAACATAAGAAATATCTTCACTTCACAAATATGTTCTCTTGATGTGGTATCTGATAAAGTTGGATATTGCAAATAGCCTGTGCGACTGGCGGTTTCAAAAGGTTGGTGTTGATGCGCGGGCTGCAACAAAATAGGGCAGGGTCCCGTGCCTCCCCTCCCTAATTTTTCGCTTCCCGAGCCCATCCCAAACCAAATATGCATTCTGTATCTTGATTATTAATTGTTTTTAAATATTATGGTCAGTATGTACTCAGGTGAAGTTTGTATGGCAGATCATATTGGGTTAGTAAACCAATGATTTCTAAAATGTTTCTTTGGAGTTGTTGAATTTTGATCTGTTTTTTATTTGTTTTTTGTTTTTTATCTGTTTTGTTTGGTGTTTGGAATTTTGATATATTTCAGGATGTCTTTTTTTTATCTGTTTCGTCATATGATACAGGCTGTTTTGCTATACTTGTTGTAAACATATTTGGTTCTGAAATGCTAAATATGTTGCGAAGATCATAATTTATATTGTTTCCGTAATTGCTCAGATTGAGTATGCACCATACTGAAGGATTATCACAGCACTAGATTTTAGTGCATCATATTGTACAGCACGACACTTCTTGGACATTCCCACGATGCAGTACCCTAGTGATTGACCGATTGTGCAACAATCGTATATTATACCGATTATTCATGCTACAATCTGCCACATGCAGATACCGATGCCAATACCGATTTCATAATGACGTCATAATATCAGTCGACCGAGTAAAGGTGACGTCATTCATACATATATGTCAATGTTTTAACGATAATTTCCAACGGAACATGTTATTGCAAACAAAGATCGTTAAAATCGTTAATAGATCGTTGAAACCGTTAATAAATGGCACGCATTATGCCATTAATTTAACATATCACGTTAAAACGCAATGTGCATGTATCAACGTCCAATGTGTACTGGCGATTGTCTACAGATAGGGCAAAAATCGGCCCGATACCGATTATCGGTCAATCGCTATACAGCACCCGCGCATTCGCTTTAATAAGAAGCTATGGGTTTCTCTTCCAATTCTATACAAATTCAATTTTCATCATGCTTTACAGTGAACTTAATTGGATTTAGAGAAATTGTATTATTCGTGAACTAACCAGATGTATTGTTCAGTGTCTGTTCGACTGAAAATTTCTAGCTTTTTATTGAAATTTCTTGTGGTCTCGATCTCAGTGCTAATAATATGATGAAAATCCGGGCTTATGGTTTGAAAGTTTTGCGATAATATGAACCGTGATATTCTGTACAAACCAAACCAAATATTATATTATTGCCGTGCAAACATTATACAAATATTGTATAAAGTTGGTTTCACTTTGCTTGGAAGGATGTATACCTGCACATGTGGCAGGTCATGTGATATGTACATGTCATGATATATTGCAATATTATTGTGATTTCTTGGAAGAACTTGTTCACGGAAAACACTGTCATGTGACTACCAACAGTCCATGTACGGTATTGTTTCAATTTATTTCACCCTCATTACTCATGCCAAGGGAAATCCCTGACACCATTGCAGAGATTGAGTACTTAATAGTCGCCATCCTCAAGCGTGATCACAGTTTATCATACGTTTCTTGGTGGATTCTGTTGATAATCAGGTACGTTTAATGTATATCTAATTTTATTGCTATTGAGTATTGTACGCCTGGCTTTATATGCATATATATCGCTGCATCACCCTTTACAGTATAAGAATAAATTATGCGATTGTAACGGAGCTGGATGTTCGCGCGGGATATAGACAGACTGATGGATTAGATTGTTCATATATTACACAAAACAATGTAAATTGAACTTATCCAAGTCAAGAAGTTTCAAATATGAAGTTTTCAAATTGAATCGTGTAGTCACAAGAAAATCATAATGAACCAAAAGGAATCGTCCTTAGACCTTTCATATATAGCCTATATGAAATTCATATGGAACAATTTAAACAATTTCAATCCTATAGTGCATGGGACAACACCTCAGAGTTATTCGTCTAGGGTGATCGAATTTAAACTTATCTAATCCTACTCAAAGGAACATCGCATTTCCGCCGAGGAGTTGCAATTTCCCAGTCGCCTATTCGGCTTGCTTATATAGTTTTACCATGCACGCGTTCGCTATATTTGCATTTATGAACGTAGTTTGATTCATCCATGTTGCACACCTTTTTAAGCCAAGTTTGTCGGGCTAAGTTGTATCTGTGAATTGTCAAAGTTAACTGTTTAATTTTCCTGTTTCCAAATTGGTAAATTCGCTACTCGTCTATAATTGACACTGCGCGTTCTCTTTTTAGGGTCCGACAAAAAATCGAAGAAAGGCAGAAAGAAAGGATTTTTATTTTAGAAGGAAATTAAAAAGTATCCAAGAGATGAGCAGGTGAGTATTTTATGTCATGTACACGTAAGTTGAATTACATGAGCAAATAATTTATATATAACGATTAACGGAAACTTACAGAATTTGGATAGTATAACTTCTAATTTTAATATTTATTTAATATTTGCCATGACTTATCGCGTGTGCATGGGTAACTTTACACTGCAATTGTAGATCCTTTTTAACAACTCCGTCAGGGCTTATTTTATATTTCGGGGAGTCCCTAACAAAAAAGTCTATAGGCCTGGCATATATAGACCAACTATATAGGTTCCTGTAGGGAACCTATATAGGTTTTTATACGCATTTGGAACATTTTTTATATAAGGTGACATATAGGGATGCCTATAAAATAAGCCTATATAGAGCTCTATAGGCCACCTATAGATCTAAGGGGTTTATAGGGCTGAATAGGAGCTTGTTGGGGGAAGGGTTAATAGCGAGGGGTTTATTCATTTTGCTGACGTGCAACTGCAAGGTATGAAATGGTATATGGTAAGATATTGAAACTGTTTATAGTAGTTTTGTAATCATCAAATTCGTGATTCAATTTGGTCAAAACTATGCGGGATGACGATTCCGGTTCGCCACAAATTAACGCTCTCTGATTTGATGGAAATTTTCAGTCAGCCAATCAGAGAGCATTATTGAAATTTTAAGAAATTTCCAGCGAATCAGAGAGCTTTATTTTAACACTTCAACCCTTAACTTCGTTTTAATGTGATGAGAAAAAAAACACAATGTAGAAGTGTTAAATTTATGTCTTACCATAGTGAGTTAGTTTTAAATTAATTATGTACGAGTTTTTTGTCATTTAATTTTTGTATACATTTAATTTTCTTGCCAACCCTGGGGATATATTATACATAATGATGCAATGGTATACACTGTGTTGCATGTATTTTATGTAACCTATTGGTCGAGTTGCTTATATTTGTCATGAACTTCTTTTTGGCTTGGGAGAAACGACGTAAACTATTTTTTCTTTTTTTTTTCATGTTTCGCAGGAAGATAACCTTGGAATCTGGCAGTGAAGTGAAAAACGTCGAGGACACTGGTGATTGCGATCCAAAAAGTTATGACTCGTGGAAACAGTATTATGTAGGTGAAAGTGAGTGTGAATGGCCAGAACATTGTCGCATCATTCGTTGTATGGAGAAGGCTGAACATGGAGCCCACGTAAAGTGTAAAGGGAAACGTGGTGTGTGGATACTACCCATGTGTCCCACTCACAACAACCCTTATAATGAAGAGTGGATGACTGCTAATGCAGGCACTACTGTAGTGGAAGTTAAGAAGATAGACTCAATCTGCGGCTAGTGGATGTCACGGGCACCCGTTTTAAAGGAAAGAAAGACAGAAAATGAATGCACTGCATGTGTATGTACTAGCTTGTAAAACTGATGCATAATTAAAGATTTCTAAGTAATCTATTTTGGTCGTTTCTTCTTTATGCTTCAAAATAGTTTTGTTGTTGTAAATACAAGAGATGGTAAAACACCAGGTATATAATTTTTTTGAAAACGATTTTGATACAGAATTTTTCACTATTAGTGTGCATGACTATACTCAACAGTGTTGATATTGTGCTCTTTCAAGTTGAGATGGTATTTGTTTAAATTTATATAAAAACATTGCCCATGCACCTGTACAAAATAGTTTTCTATGTTTAACCTATTAGTTTCAGTGGCATATTCAGAGGCAAAGGAGGATAACTCCTTTGGGTGCCGCGCAACAGGTGGGAAATTTGTCGTCGCTGACCAAAAAATTGCGGGCAGAAACAAAGCTCATTGCATTTACATTCAAAACAAAGCAGAAAGTTAGCAAGAAGCTGTTTTAGCTGACGATTTTTTGCTTTCCATTCAACAATTTACAAATTATTGGTTATTCTTTTAAAAGTCGATCATGAATTCTTTGTTTTGGGATGATTGTTTTGTAATCGCGTGATTGGAAGAAGTTAATATGGCGACGTGAACATGGGAGTAAATACCGTATACGTCGATCTATGGCTTGTTTAAAACCGTAATAAACGAAAAAAGACGTGATTTGAGAATGAAATGTAAGTTGAAATTAACTTTATATGCCTCAAATTTTCCATCCTATGTTTCTTAATGTAACTTCAGCTGTCTAAGTTCAAAATACAAGCTCGCGAAATTTGACAAATTTTGAAAATATGTAAAAATAGCTTGACTTTGAATTGTGTTTTCTCAAAAATAGCCCGTGGCCTCAATTTCAAATATAACTAAATGAAAAGAAAAAACTTTTCGGCGTTTGTAGGTATCAAACATATCGTCAGGAAAATAGGGGCTCACAATGTTTTAGTTCAGTCTTTGAGACCCAGTTGCTTCGCACGTGTTGTGGTCAAATTTTTGCCAAGAATCAAAGGCCGAAATGTGAACTTCCTTCGTCAAAACCGCTTCGAGAAGGGTCTTGTTTGAACATTTAGCTATTAATTTCGATTTCATGAGCATATTTTGGTTACACGTTAAGTATTTTTGTGCTTGATGAGATTCAAAATTTGTTGTATATTCAAGCCCGGCTTTTGTGTAATTTTGGTGATGACCGGAACAGAAATAAAGATATTTTAAAATCTGGCCGTGGCCTCACGATAAAACTTTCTACAAATGTTCTCTGTTTCATGTACTTTTATTTGATATCTTAGGTATAAGCGTAAAAATA